CGACCTGTAATTCAACGTGATCCTCCAAGTTGGAATTTCAGCGGCGGCCTTCTTTCGGCGACTTGTTCCGCTCTGAAAAGGAGCAGCTCGAAGAAAAGCTACCCCTCTCACTCTCTTTCTCATGATACGGTGGCTTTCCGGAAGCTCGATTCTAGCCCGAATAAATTTCTAAGACCAAATGATCTTAGCTGACAATGAAATGGCGCGCGCCCGCTAGATGATATTTCAATTGTATTCCCCGTTTCTGGCCGCGGGATGAGAAAGAGAGCCCGAAAAGATGAGAGAAAGAGCCGCGCAGAGACAAAAGGACCTTTTCATCCGTAGGCCAGGCCTCGCGATACCACCGCCGCCGCCGCCGTCGTCGCTTCAATCCCCTAGAACCGTCTTTTCCAACGACACACGCTCGATCGACCATCTACTACTACTACCACCCGTGTGTTTCGCGTTATCTCTCCTTTCTCTTCTGTAACGTTTCCGCTCACGGAATTTTTTCCGCAAGAATTTTTAGTGGAATCTGGGTACCTGAAGTAACGGGTACATGTTCGAGGATCGATATGGTTCCTGAGCACGTGAAATATTTACAAAGCTTGTGGTACCTGAAGCAGGTGAAGGTTTAAACATGCTCGAAGTAATTGGAATACCTAAATTTTCGAAATTAGCGAAAGGTATCTGAACTGCTTTGATACACTGGGTACATTTGGAGGGTACCAAGTACCTGAAATTTCCACAACACTCGAGTACCTGGGATAACTACAATTCCCTAAAGCATGTACCTGAATGTTTGAAACATGTGAAGTATCCGAGTGTGTATGTAAATCTAAGCATGCATCATTATACATATTTATTCCAGCAACTGTACCTGAAGTTTTAAGATATGTAAAATTTTCTACAGCACCTGGATAACACAGGGTGCCTGAAGTACCTGAATAATTGTTAGAGTGCAAAAAAGAAATCGAAACTGTGCATAAAATTTCTGGCATATACCTGAATGAGGTTTTACTCGACCCGATTTCTGATAAAGTCCCGAAATTGGTACACTCGCGGAACGAACTCTGAACTTTTCTCCCGTCGAACATCAATGAGTTTGAAGAGGTTCCAATGGGATGTTACGCGACGAACGTGACTCCTTTACGTGTGGCAGTGCAATTAAAGGAGTGTTGGTAACTACCAAGGGGAGAACGACGACGACGACGACCGTTACTGACGCCATGACGCTAAGGTGACCTCGAGCCGTGAAAAAACAGCCGAAGAATCGAACACTTCGTAAACACTTAACGGATATTAAGTTTCCTCATCTCTCGAAACGGAACTTAACAAGGACCTACTGGCCCCGTGGACTCGCAGCCAGCGAAACTTCCGTGATTTCAATTCTTCCCGTTGATCTTCCAAAACTCATTCTACAAAAGGGAACTTTTAATGAAGACTTTCGAAGCTTGTAAGTAAATCTCCGGTTCGCGGAGGAGAAGACGCAGCTGGTTGAAAATCAACGAGAACTACTTCGAATTCTATTCCTTGCCTAAAGAAATCGGAGAAGCCTTCTTACTCTTTGCTTCTAATTTATTACATCAGCACAGCCTTGAAGAAAAAGAACCGAGGGGAAAGTATGTCGAGAATCAATTTCGCCTGATTTCAACGGAATGTAACACGTATACACATAGAACATACAGGGTGAACTGTACAATATGATCATCTCTATTATTTTCGTTGTTTCGTGGACTGATTGAAATTTTTTTTGGCACAGTTTGAAAACTTTTTATTTCTAACGCTTTTTATATTTTATCAGTTTTCACAATAACTCTGAATTTTTCTATACATAGTATTTGTTTATCAATCGTTCAAAGAATGAATTAAAAAAAAAAAGCAGTTTTTCATTCATTGATAATGAAGATAATGATAAGAGATAATTGATAATGATAAGAAGATAGAAATGATCGCGTTGTACGGTTCAACCGGTATATGAATATTACTGTTAATTAAAAAAGTGAATACCTCGTTCTTTGGTGCCGCGAACGGTTCGCACGAGAACCTCCTGGTCGTCCTCCTCCCAGAGATCGGATTCCGCCCTGGCGGTGACGATGAACATCAACATGGCGACACCGACCAGCGCCAAACTCCACCACAGCTTCATTCTGCGGACAAAAAAAAAAAAGAGAAATGGAGAGAGTGAAAAGAAACGTCTCGTTAATCTTCCTCTTTAATCAGCGTCGTTTTAATTATTATACGTCGGGGCAACAAAGGATCGTCGGAGGGAATTCGAACGTGAAAAGTCAGAAATAGAGAGTCACCGAGACCTACATTACCGACACTCTATATTCGTATCGACTGCAAAAATTGACATTTTCAAATTTTCACCTTTAAAATAGAAATTTCTTATTCAATTTTCTATATATCGAATAAAGAAAATTTGTTCGTTCTATGTGCATCGATATACGGTAAAAAAAAAAAGGTTTCGAGTTTCCGTCGGAAAATCGAACGGGTGAATCAATTTTCTCTACGTGAACATGAATTCAACGGGTGCAACGTTCTTTCTTGTCTTTTTTTTTTTTTTTATTCGCGTACATTTACCAGCACGCGTTTCGAATACTATTTTTTCGCCGTCGGATTGCGCGTTCGAAATTTACGGGTCAATTCGTTCACGCCAGCAGCGTTGCTGCGAGATTGGACCCTTGTATGGGAAGAACTAATGTTTTTACAGTTACAGAACTCTCGATGGTTATCGTTCTCTCTCTCTTGCAAGCTTTGGTGGTAAGCTGGAGAGGAAAAGAGAGGGAGTAGCGTGGTCGTGGTTTTCATTTTTGCACGGCCAGCAACAAACCGACCGAGAACGAGTTTCACTCGTTAGCCGAGAATTTAATTCTGAACGTTTAATTGTGCTCGATACGTGTGTTATCACTCCATACACACAGGCATTAAGCGTTTTAACGTATAACGATGTTTTATTTAATAGAGACCTTCCTGTATTTCGCGCGGATAATTGTTCGGTTTTATTTCGACGGCGATAAGTTACAAGAACCGGGGAACGTTCGTTAAACAAGCCCCCGTCGGTAGTTTGCATATCGCCAGAAAGTTTCGCCCATTTGTCCCTCGTAAATTTTGTGATCGCACGGCAACATGGGAAGTACTAATTGCCAAAGCTACACCGGCAGAGCATCGTCGATGCCTTTCTCCTCTTGTAATTATCGAAATCAATGGGAGAAGAGGCGAGGATTCAAATGAACTGGTTAAATAAGCGTCAGAAATGTTTTGTACCTTGAAATACGTTCGATTAAGCGTGAAAAGGAAGAAAGACTTTTTTCCACACAACGGAAACAACAAATGGGAATTTATCGTCGGTTGTCCACGAATATTAAAAACTACTCGTTCCTTGTTACGAGAGAGAATTACAAGTTTTACCAGAGTGTTAAAACGAAGTTGAAATCACATTACAATATTTCCAAATTTGTAAAGAAGAGAGAATTTTTACAAGTCTTCAAAGAAAAACACATTTCAGGTCGTCGGGATTCGAACCTACGACCCTTTTGGTGACAGTAAACGCCATTAACGTTGCCTTGTAGCTTTAACCACCACAGCCAACATCGCCTTTTCTCTTGCTTCTATTTTCGAACGGTATTTCTATTGGTTTGTAATAGCATCTTCTAAAGCTACTAAAAATTCTAGAAAAATATCCATATGGATTGAATTTTTGATATTCTTATCTTCCTTTGCACATATTTTCCATAGATCGAAAAATAGATTCTTTTCGTTTAATGAAAGTTCCATTTACGAAAATTGTCGTGTACCATCGGTGGGTACGCAAGTGCCACGGAACATGTTAAATATCCGACTACACATATACACGGTGTACAAGAGCACGGTGGTGTTCAATACAGAGATGTATGCACGAGTTAAATCGTCATGTTAATTAATAGGGAAGTGCGGGGGCGAGAAAATTATACCGAAAGCAATTCGTAACCCTACCGCGGGAGGAAACGTTCGTTTGTCTCTTACACTCGCCACCGCAATTACTGAAATCTTTTCCATTTGTGTGAACGATTTCGACAATCAATGCCAATGAAACAATGATACGTTTATCTCATTACGAAGCTACTTTGCGGGTATAATCAATAGAAATTGTTCGTACAATAAACGCCAAATAACCCAGCTTACACACGCCGTCAGCCTTGCCGCCTTTTTATCACCAGAGTAGGAGAGGAGAAGGGGAAAAGTTAATTTTGCGCTTGTATCGAACGCCACCGTCGATAAAATATTCATAGTGTCGCGTTTTAAAAAAGGTGATAAAAGGGCACGTGCTTTACTCGCCATTTTCTTTTTTCATCGTGGGTGTTTTTGTAGCGGTAGTAACAGAAAGTAAATGTATTCTCAGGATTCGGAATAATTTTTTTTTTTTTCAAAGACATTTTTGGACTTAAAAGCACTTATTTTGAACGAAATGTTTACCTAGCTCAGACTTGTTATTTCGAGCATACACGAGTACATGGGATAATGCACATATTTTGAGGAAAACAGACGACGGTCTCAAAATAGTTATTTTGAGCTACATATCCGCCATGCTCGTTTTGCGCGCCCTCTTTTTGAGGGAGAAAATAATTATTTTGAGCAACATTCCCGTCCAGCTTCAAATAATTGTTTTGAGCGGTGTGTCTGATTATGAGAATATTTATTCTGACAGTAATATCTTTATCTGGTTGCAAATATTTATTTCGAGCAACATATCTCTATTTGGATAATAATGAAAATTGTAAAGGGAGAAGCATTAAGAGCTGCAATTTCATAAGTCACCGCACACTGCGTATTTCCGTGAAGTAAATTTGTTCATCGACCCGTCGGTGGTTTTCATTAAAGCGTCCCGACGGCGAAGGCAAAAAGTTATTTCGTAAGAACAAATAACGCAAAAGTTCATTGCGCGCGATTCTAACCTTTAATTCAATGGGGGCCCGCCAGAGCGAATCGCGGGCGTAAAACGCGGACCCAGGGAGTAAATAACTCTCGTGAAGGAAAGGAAGTTGAAAAGTGGTGGCGAAGTTTCGAAAGAAAAATACCTATTCTTCGGTTTTCCATAAAAAAAAAATTATGACTAAAGAAACAATTGAAGACAGTTGAACGTTCCTCGGTAATGAATGCCACGTTTTAATTAATTTCGTAAAAGAAACTCCAGAAGGACGATATCGATTCAGTTACTCGCTAACTGTTACTGAGACTGGAGGCTGAGAATAGTAGAAGTAGGTGGGTAGCGGGGAGAGGGAGAGGGAGGGGGAGAGAGAGCAAGAGAGAGAAGCACTATGCAAATTTTTATCGCTACGCATCGTACGGTTAACTTTGAATCATTCCCACTAATGAGCTCTCCCCAGAAAGCATTACATGAAAACTCCTAATTGTTAACTCGGTTGGCGACTAACGTTATACCAACGGGTGGACTCACTTTTCGCGAAATGAACGGCTGTGTGTAATTAGTGATTAGCGAGTAGAGTGGCCGGGTATTGCTATGGCGACCGAGCGGCAATAGCTTCGCTCAGGGATTTTCGTAGCACGCGCGTTTTCAAGAGAAGTGAATTAATACCCTGTGGTACCCGCATAAAACTACCGTTTCTGGTAGTTCATTGTCTCAAATGAATCTCGTTTCCATAGAACCATAATGGATTGTATGCCCGTCTGAAAAAACTCTATTCTGCTTTTCATCAATTCACGTTGTTCTTCTCTCAGATATTTCTTTTCCCAAACTGAAACTGAACCATCGAGTGGAGAGAGCCTTGAAAAAGACACGACAGATGTCGTTCGTTAACCTATTATGGCGATGAAATCGGGAATTGATGGCTGGAGTGTTTTCAACGACGAACATTTGACGAGAACGTATCAGTTTCGTTTAATTACCGTGGGAATGTGAAAAAGATTGTAAATTGTAGTGGAGAAAAGGAGGTCATCCGTGGAATGACGGGAAAGAGAGCAATGATTTTTTAATGTCGAGAGAACTCGCGACGCGACGTATTATAACCTCGTTTCAACGGAAAGGATGTTAATTAATCTTAAGAAGCAACTGTCTTCGTTAACGCGGCGTTACAAACAAGAAACTAGCTTCCAACTTTTTAAATTTATAATTAAGCTGGTGTTTTTACCCTCTTGAACCTCCCCTTCTTCTTCTACTTCTCCGTGTCTTCGTGTCGAAAACTTATGTCTCACTTTGTTTGAATTTAAATGCACCATTCTATTTTTAAAATTCTTGTGAATATTTATTTTCGTAAGATAATAATTATGTCACTGTATAACAAGGGTTGTTTCATTGCCTAATTAAAATTAATGATAAGGAAGTGTGTCACGTGCATACGATTTATGAAACGTAAAATTCATGCAAAACTCGATTTTTAACCGCTAATTTTATCCAGCTGATAAAAATTCCACGTTTTTAGTAATATCACTCTTGAAAAATGATATTGCGCTACAGAATATACATGATGTCATGCATCCAGTATATATAGAATAATTACCCTTTCGAATTGTACCTTAAGTAATAAGTTCTTTGAGCGCATATATCGTCTGATATCATACGAAGCAAAAATTTGTATTAATAGTCTGTCACTATCATGAGTTTCCTATGTCATAGAAAAGAATAGCTCGGGTGGTAGAACGATTGCTTAGTAATCTAAAGGTCTCAGGGATCGAATCCTGGTCGGTCTGGAAAATATTTCTTCCAATAATATTTTTCTCCAATTCTCTTTCGACAGATAATTTTCTTGTAATTTATAATCAACTATAATTACATTCTTATAAATATATTCTATGTAATATGTCACAAAAAGTCTTCTGGGTTCGTAATCTTTACTCTAGTGTCAACACATTCGACATTACGAAGCTTTTTCGAATATGCGGCGGTTCAGAGTTCCCAACAGAAGAAGCGTTGGATTAACTCGAAAATAGCTGTGAAGGCTCTGGAAGAATGAATTTTAACGAGGGGTAGGCATAAGAGAAAAGCGCAAATCGGCTCGAAACCGGCGACGAAAAGTTTAATAACCGCGCGTTAATGAACGGCAG